CCCCCCCCCCCCCCCCCCACCCTAACCCCTCAAATCCCTCATCTTCTTCATCTCTCTCATCTCTATAGCCCTAGCCGCCCCATCGCCACCAGAAATCGCCCACTGCGGCGGCGCCACCCCAAACCCTCCCAAAATCACACCCTACACTCCTCTCTTCATGCTCAACACAAATCCACAATCTATTGTTCCAAAATCCTCACCAAACTCTTTGAATTTCGGATCTAAAAAACCCTAGAACTCCAAATCAGTCGGTTCCTTGTGTTTTCGCCCAGATTTTGTTTGATGAGTACGAAATTGACATTAATCGGTTGCTCTTGATAAGTGCAATTGATTGATGCTAATTTTAACTCATTGCATGACCATAGAGCTTAGGAAAAAGTACCACTGGTAGTTCAGAATTCGATCGCCTCTTTTGGTTCGAATATCTTCAAAACGGGTAGCCATCTCTTCTTTATTTTTGTTTTTCCTCTGTTTCCAAGGTTTCAAGTTTGTTTTGTTTAGTTTCTGGTTTTCTGTCATGCTTATTTGTTTAGGAAGGTTAATAATTGAATACGTGATTGATTAAACTATTTGTTGGTTTGATTAGTTCAATTAAAATTAGGATTATTTAAGTTAATTGCATTTAGTTAGTAACCATTTATTTGAATATCAAAATGTTTAGTTTAGGTTTTGATCATTAGCAAAATCGTTTGAAGATAAGTTATTGGCTGAATTTGAAGTTAGATAGTTTGTTGATGTGTTCAATTGCACATTTGTCTAAAATTTACTAATTGTAATTAGTCGTTGCTTCATGCTTAATTTGTGCTCCATAGTTTAGTTGTTTAATTTAGCTTAATTAATTACTGTTTGACTGTGTTAAATAAAAAGGGACAGTAGAGTTAGGGTAGAATGCACTATTTGGTATTAACTGAAACTTAAGGGGGCTAAAGGGCATTGAAAATATAGAATCTTTTTCAGTTGTTTGGGGAAGTCTCTAGAAGGGACTAAAGTGCATTAAAAAAACCAGAAATTAGATCAGATTTTGGGTTAAAGGGTTAAAATCAGAAGTAAAAGGGCTGAAAAAATATGAGTAAATATCTGAATGGACAGTTGCCCAACAGCTGTCCCAATTCAGTTTTAAAAGATTCCCTTTCTCCTTATTTTTAGGGACTGCATTCCCCAGAATTATTCCCTCACCCTTTGCCTATATAAGAGGCCTCACATTCCCTTCAGTCACACAGATTTTACACACGAAAAACACTCTGAGAATACACACTCTTTTTTTCATTTTGAGACTGGTTTACACACTGATTTCTCTACAGAAAACTAGACATTCCTTTCTTCATTTACACTAGTTTCTCTTCTTTAAAGTTCAAGCTCGATACATAAAAAGAAAGGTATTCTTCCGACTTTGAGTTCTTCAGAGTTTCTGGGTGTATATCTGAAGCTGTTTTCAAATATTTGGTTGTGGCTGTTGCTTGCTCTATAGCTGACTTCTTTCTCTATTCAGTCTTTGGTTTGGCATTTTCTGTTTGGTTTTCTACGCAACAAGGTGCACATCTTAACTATGTTTTTCTTTGGAATTATAATGAAATGTTAACTGCTCCTTTTGAAAATCATGTACTATGATCTATCGTGCATAACTTTAGTTGAAATGTTTGATGTTGTTGATACTTAAAATGTGTTATAGACTTAAAATCCAGTTTGCATGACTATCAGTTTATCTATGTTTCCTTCTTCCTGATTAATGTTTGTGTATTATTCATATGCCTTTTGGTCGATTGTTTAAGATGTTATTTGGTTGATAATTGATTTAAACTAGCTGATTTCTGTTTGAAGTTCTCTAAATCAATGAAGGCTGATTGAAGCTCGTTTGAGTTTCATGTGATTGCTTCATGTTAAAGGTCATTTCATGCAGAACCTATATATTTGTTTAAGATGTCAGGAGTAAGATGAATGTCGGACAATGTTCAGAAGAAAGCTGTTAGGAGCAGTAATATACAGATCTGCCTCGTTATGTATAAAAGAAATTGAACTTGTTGGTTTATAGCTAGTCAATGGGTTGTAATGATTTAACTTCTATACTTCTTTTGTATGACAAGATAATTTAACAAACTAGCTAATTCTGTTCTATCATTTTGAGTTTGTTATAGTTAAATACAGGCATTTTTAATTTTGTAGTTTTAGAGCATTAATCTTATGGAGATTTGTTCTCTGAGCAAACATTGTGCGTTGGGCCTGGTAAATCTTCAAGCCCAAATCAGTAGGGTTCTATGAAATTGAATTTTGAGTTCTACTAGTGAACTCAATTGATAATTTATTTAAGGCATAACTATTCTCTGAAGTTTTTTTATATGCGCAAGTGTTTGGATTTATTGACTTTGACATAGTTTTAGCATAAGAAACAAAATGCTCATGAAGTCAGTAGAATTTATTTACAAATTGGGTCTGACTTTTGAATATAAACAGTTTATTCTATTTGTTTTCAATATCTTTTAGCATCACATTTGAAAGAGAGTGAAAGAATACGAGTTGAGATCTGGCAGTTAGTGTGATATTGTTGTAGTTGATTACAGAATAAATTATGCAAATTCAATCCTAATTTAGCCTTGTATTCCTTTGTTTCAAGTTCATCATGGATGTATTTGGAAAGTTAAAGTGCATGATGCTTGTCCAATGCTTTGAACGAAAGTGAGTAGATTAATCGAATTGAACGTATCTAATTCTACAACTGTTCATAATAGTTGAAGCCTATATGCAGCTTTTCTCTTTCCCGTAATTTTTGCTCCTGTTTACAATAATTCCAAACTTATGAAATGAACAATCATGTACGTTAGAATGCTTTAAGCGCAATCCTAAGCAAATCAAATCATCGTGATTGTGTACACGTCCGCGTGACACGATTACGACTCCTAAGATGAATATTCGTAGAAATGCCTTTTAGGCGCGCATTTAATCTATTATCGTGGTTGTGTACACGTCCGCGTGACATAATTATGATCCTCCACAAATAAATCAAAGTACGCGTTTGCGCGACTTTGCCGAACAATCTTAAATTAATAAAGTGTGATTAATTGTGTACATGTTTGCGTGACATGATTTTAGCGCCCCAAATAAAATGGGCTTTCACACATGTGATCTGTTTCCAAGATAAATCCATAAACGCCATAATTTAAAAGCGGTAAAAGGTAAAAGTCCATATGTTTTAAATAAGTAATTAAACAATTTAACTAAGCCAGGTATGGTTTAAGCGACTATGCTAAAACTACGAAATCCAGAAATGCCTAACACTTTCTCCCGGGTTAACAGAATTTCTTACATGGTCTTCTGGTTTCGCAGACTTTAGAACAGAGTCAAATTTCTTTGATTTGGGATTTAAAATAAACTGGTGACTTGGGACACCATAATTTATCCCAAGTGGCGACTCTGAAATCTAATAAATAATCCCATTTCGATTAATATCACTTAAATTAGAAAAAACTCCCTATCCCTATCCCATCGGGAAAAAGGAGGTGTAACAGTGAAACGTGTGCTGGTAGCGTACTTTTAGGGTAATAAAGGACATGTATGATGGAGCAAAGACTCGGGTTAGGATTGTGAGAGGTGACTCAGAGCATTTTTCGGCTGTTATGGGGTTACACCAAGGATCTGCGCTCAGCCCGTTCTTATTTGTCTTGGCGATGGACGTTCTAACTCACCATATTCAAGGGGAAGTGCCAGGGTGTATGTTGTTCGCTGATGATATAGTGCTGATTGATGAGACGCAAGACGATGTTAACGAGAGATTGGAGGTTTAGAGACAGGCTCTTGAGTCTAAAGGTTTCAAGTTGAGTAGGATTAAGACAAAATACCTGGAGTGCAAGTTCAGCAACGTGACGGGGGAAGAGGGCGTAGATGTGAAGCTTGACTCACAAATCATCCCCAAGAAAGGGAGTTTCAAGTACCTTGGGTCAATCATCCAGGGGGGATAGGGAGATTGACGAGGATATCACGCACCGAGTTAGGGTGGGGTGGATGAAATGAAGGTTAGCATCTGGAGTCCTGTGTGACAAGAAGGTGCCACCAAAAATTAAAGGTAAGTTCTATAGAGTGGTGGTTAGACCGGCCATGTTGTATGGGGCTAAGTGTTGGCCAATCAAGAAGTCGCATATCCAGAGATTGGAAGTAGCAGAAATGAGGATGTTGAGATGGATGTGGAGGCACACTAGACTAAATAGGATTAGGAATGATGTTATTCGGGAGAAGGTTGGCGTGGCTCCCTTAGACGATAAGATGAGAGAAGCGAGACTCAGATGGTTTAGGCACGTGCGGAGGAGAAGCATAGATGCCCCGGTTAGGAGGTGTGAGAGGTTGGCTTTTGGCAGGCATAAGAAGAGGTAGAGGGAGGCCGAAGAAGTAATGGGGCGAGATGATCAGGCGGGACATGGCGAGACTTCAGATCCGCGAGGATATGGCTCTGGATAGAAACGTGCGAAGGTCGAGCATTAGGGTTTAAGGATAGGAGTAGTCGAGCGTTTTTCTTCTTTATTCCGGGGGTGGTGCTAGTTTGATTAAGGTTTCGTCTTAGAGTGCTAGTGGCGTATATTGTGTTCTCATTATTTTCCCGCTTTCATTTATTGTGTAACTAGTAACGATTTTTGTAATTTGCCTTTCCACCTATATTATGTCTCTTACAATGTTGATATTAATTTATCTCTCTGGTTGCTTCTGCGGTAAGGATCTATTATCTCTGTTTGCCTTTTGAGTCGAGGGTCTTCCGAAAATTCCTTTGGGATAGGGTTAAGGTTTACGTAGACTTTACCCTCCCACACCCCACTTAATGAGATTTTACTGTGTTGTTGTTGTTACTTAGTGAAATTGTGAAAATAACTTTTTGGACTTTTTTAAATTTTAGTAAAATTCCAAAATTCATTTTCAAGTTAAAATTGAAAATTTTATACCCAAACACAACAAAATTGAAAAAATTTGGAAAAAAAAGTGGAAAAAATTTCATGTCCAAGGGAGGTCTTAAAGTCCATTTGTTCGGAACTCGGAAGCAAGCTCTATAATGTATCAGTGTTACTACACAAGAAGAAGAAGAAAACAAAGGTTTGAGCAAATGGCAAAATCTTCATTGAGAAGAGATGAAAATGCTAACGAGGAAGGAAGCAGTTGGAGCACCAGACCTGTTCCCAAGAAACGGAGAACTTCGGCCGCCACTCTCTCCTGTAAGGAACGACAGCTAAGCCGTGAAAATGAAGAAGGAGGAGAAGATGGGAATGAACAGGAGAATGTTATAGAGGAGGAAGCAGTGGAACCGGAACCAGAAATTGAGGTGAGACAAGTAAGGAAAGGTGATGAAGAGAAAACCCCAGACAAGTTCATTTCCGCGGCAGTACCCGACCCAAATCATGATAAGTTGGAGGGAGCAAGTGGAACCGCGGATCATGATTTGGATCAGGGCTCAAGAGGAAACAAGTCAACTTCTATGACGTTATCTGATCCAGATGTGTTGGATTGCCCCATTTGCGTCGAAATTCTCAGCGTTCCTGTCTTTCAGGTATATTTCTTACTCTATCCTTTACTATATTTCTGGAGTTGTTTGGTCTGAAGTTTCTCTCTTCAGTTGAAAGCACTAGCAGCGCTATTGATTTAGTGTCTGTTATTTCTACTGATTATGGATTGAGGTAATAGAACTCAAGGAACTTTCTGCCTAGCAAGTGTTTGTTAAATTTCCTCCTACAACTTGCTTACTGTTTCCCTCATTCTTTAAGGTGTCCTTGGATACGTGGATAAGGATAATAATCCCGGGATAAAATTTGGGTTTAACTTTATCCTATATATGGTTTGAGGTATTAGCTAATTCCTCAATAACTTTTACGTTAAAATGATGGGATTAACTATCCCATATCAAAAGTGGAATATCCCACTCCATGGGATATTCTTGGATATCCCAGCATTGTACCAAACAACACGTAACAGTATTGGAGAGCAAGTGCTTTTGAGGTCTTTTCGCCTACACTTTTCCCTGTCAGGATGGCTAATTCTGTTATTTTTTCTAATAGTTGTAGAACAGATTTACTATAGTTTTTTAGTCTTAATATATATATAGATGATCAGTTTGTTGCTATAGTGCAACAGTATACCAAATTTTTTGCTGTTTTGAGCATGTGTAAAAGAAATTATTGAACCTTTTGCCAGAAATTAAGACCATGAGTTTAGGGATGTAACAACTGTTAATAATATGAAAGGCTAAATGTTGAAGTTTAAGTGCATGTATTGAGCTTTTTGAATTAAGACCATGTACAACAAATGCTAATACAAAGAGCATTTTTTCCTTTCCATATTTCCAAAATTGTGTTCTTTGTGAACAAAGATATATTCTCTAACATATATCTTTTCTCTTTTTGGGCTAAAACAGTGTGAGAATGGGCACATAGCATGTGCTCCTTGCTGCTTCAAGATTGCTAATAAGTGTCCATTATGTTGTTGTCCCATTGGATATATCCGTTGTCGTGTTATTGAAAAGGTTCTAGACTCTGTGAAGGTCTCATGTGTATACGAGATCTATGGCTGCAAGGAGATTCGGAGTTATGGGAACAAAACTGCCCATGAAAATGCATGCATCTATGCGCCTTGTGCATGTCCTTACGATGGCTGTGATTTTGTGGACACTTCTACAAAGTTGTATGCACATTTTCATGACAAACATGGTTCTTCGGCAGAGCACATCTTTTTCAACACTGTCCATCCCATTTATATTGAAAAAAATCAAAGTTACCAAATTCTTCAAGAGAAGACAGAAGGAATTGTTTTTATCATTAATCATTCTACTCAAGACCATCCTGGTAGTGCTGTCAACATTATCTGTGTTGGACCAGCTTTGCAGACTAGAAGGTTCCGTTACGAGCTTGTAGCAACAGATGGGGAGAGCACTTTTAAACTAGGATCCATTGCAGAGAACGTCCCAAAATGGTCAGAAAATTTTCCTTTGAAAAAATATCTTCTGCTCCCAAGAGATTTCGTTGATTCCACTCTCTCTTTCGAAGAAAGAGAAGTCGCTCAGTTGAAGTTGGAGGTCTTCGTAGAGCGTGAATACATCTTCTGAGGTAGCACTGTTTAAGGAAGGAGTAATAGATATTGATGTACATATATTATGATGAAGTCTTATCTGGCTGAAGAACTTTTCGTTCGTCTTTTACTTTGTAGTTGGTCTGTTGATGCAAGTTACTTTGTCGATGCTGCTATTTGGAGATCTGCATTAGCAGATTGTCTAGCAAATGCGAGCATATGGCTCAACTTTTTTGATGCTATCTATCATGAATCTGCTCCACCTTTTGTGATGAAGCAATATGTAATAGACAAGAAGGGGATGAAGTATAGTATTGTAGAGTAATCCCAAACTCGTTGATGTATGAATAACCATTATATAATATCTCTTTTTGTGCAGGAAAAAAAAAATCTGCATTTGTGCTGTTATTTTTACTTTGTCCCTTCTTTTGAAAGGCTGTTCCTCACTATGTTTGAGATTGTTATGCTAGTGCTAGAAATTAGAATTGGTCAATGAAGTAGGATGAACCATTGGAGACCCGAGTTTAAATTCCAGTAAAGACAAAATTTTATTTGTTTTTTATCTGTATAAGCCTTGGTAATAGAGTTATTTGGTACTTATGTTGATGGAAGGTAGCAAATATCCAGCAGAAAAGTCGAAGCGCGAGCATAATAGAGTTACTTAGGCCCCTTTTGGCCATGAGTTTTGCCAAAATAAATTTGGGATTTATTTTCAAAACTCATGTTTGGCCATAAATTTTGCCCATATTTTGGCCAAATTCCAAATCCCAAATTTCAAATCCCAAAATCAGCTATTTTGGGCCAAAATCCCAAACCTTGGGAATTATATACATGTTTTTCCAAAATAAAGTTGGAAAATATATTTTGAAAACATATGTCCAAACACATTTTCATCTTCAAACCAAACTTCACCCAAATCAGATTTTTCAAAACAAATTTGGGATCTATAGCCAAACGCTAGCTTAGTACCTATACGTAAGGTAACACAGCGTAACTTATTTGGACAATATTTATATCACGTGCGCAACTACTTAACCAGTAACCATTCTAAGTGAAGATCATATCCTTAGAACAGGCAATGTAAAGTATTTTACAAGTAGGGGTGTTCATAAAAACCCGGAAAATCGAACCAAACCGAAAACCAAACCAAATCGAACAAAAAAACCGATACTTTTTGGTTTGGTTTGGTTTTGGTTTTGAATTTTAAAAACCGGTCAAATTTGGTTTGGTTTTGGTTTTAATCAGAAAAAAACCGAAAAAAATCGAACCAAACCGCCTATAGGAGTAGCTATTTCAAATTTATTATTACACCTATATATATGTATATTTTTATACAAAGTTTAAAAAATTTAATGGTAAATGTTAATAGTTTGCACTTTTAGTATAGTTCTTTACCTTTACATTCTAGTTTGATTGGTAGTTTTCTTTTGTTAAGTGTAAGAATCCATTTCGTGTTAAAAATAATATATCTTTAATTGAGTCCTTAAATTATTCATTAGTATTTGATTCAATTATCATCAATATATCTTGGTAAATAACAGATTTTTCAAAGGGCGATTGATTTGATAGTGTTACGTTGAAAATGTGGTCGCCGGAATATGTGTTTGATAGTGTATGTCTTATATTTAAGAAAAAACTAACAAATAACCGAAAAAACCGAAAAACCGACAAAACCCGACATAAACTGAATCGAGAAAAAACCGACTTAATTGGTTTGATTTGGTTCTAATATTTGAAAAACCGACCTACCTGATTTGGTTTCTTTTTAGGGAAAACCCGAACCAAACCGAACCATGAACAGCCCTATCTACAAGGATCTACAGGGTTTTGTTCATAACTAGCAAAATAAGAATGTTTCGGATTTGTTATTTAGTTTCTAAAGATGTCATAAAAATGTAAAATGTAGCAATTATGCGTTTCTCGCTGTTGCAACTTAAAAATACCGTAAACATGTGTAAGAAAATATAAATATTAAAGTTTTGGTGACTTTTATCAAGGCGCTTTTAATTACACAATTTTCTTAAGATATTATTTTCTCCTCCTATCCAAAAAGAATGATGGGATTCTGACCAGAATCAACGAAACTAAATTTTCATTAATAGATGTTAATTTCTTGATTTATGGAGATTAAATGTACCTATTTATTTGTGAATAGCATTTCTGTCCCTCAATTACTGATAAAGTTTAATTTTGGTCCTTGTTAAATATGACTCAGCACATTCAACCTTCAATTAATCAATATACGTTCTTTTGGTCCATTTATGTAGGAAATATATTATATTTAGACTATTTTACAAGTATGATACCCTCAATTATAGAGTAACAGTACAAACTTAACATAACACATGCGGAATTAAATGGTGGAAGAGTCAATATTTCTGGAAAAAAATTGTGAATTTTCATAAGCAAAGGAATTAAAAGCGTACTGTTACACGATTGCAGGAATTCAAGGAGAATTCGAGGATCGTAGCACTACTCCAGGAATGAATCGAGGAAGCAGTAGAGAATATCAGATTTTCAGAAGAAGAGAAGAAGGGAGGAAGAAGAAGAATAGAGAGATTTAGGAGAAATGATGTAGCTGTAATTCATATCATGTAATGATGTTTACAATCCCTATATGTAATGATTCATATATTCCTCATGTAACTAGATTCTATCTAACAGAATTCTGTTATTCAACTACTAACTATCGTAACTAACTTTCCCTCCCTTTAACTAACTTTTGGACTACTAACTACTGACTTTACTTTTGGTTCTCAATTCTGCTGTAGTCGAGCTGGGCTACTAAAATCATGTATTAGTACTCCCCCCAATCGAAGATCCTTGACCACAAGGATCAAAAGTAGGAAATCTCGTCTGTAAAACAGTAGCAAACTCCCAAGTAGCAACTTCATTAGGAAGTCCCTGCCATTTAACCAAAACTTGTCCAACCGCCTTGTTTCCCTTCTTCACCATTCTCCTTTGTAAAATAGCTTCGGGATTAGGACAATATGGACTTGCTAAATCAAGAGTAGGTGGATAAGCAATCTGTGATGGAGTTTCATAACATCTTTTCAATAATGATACATGTACTGTGGGGTGGATTTGAACTCCAGCAGGCAGCAATAATGTATAGGCAACTGAACCCACCCTTTTTAGAATTTGGAAAGGCCCATAGTATTTGGAGGCTAACTTGTGAGAAGCGTGATTAGATATAGTGACTTGTTTGTATGGTTGAACTTTAAGGTAGACCCAATCACCAACTTCAAATTGTGTATCACTTCTGTGAGCATCTGCCTATTGTTTCATTCTGTGTTGACCTCTCATTAGATGGTGCTTCAGCAGCTGGAGCTTCAGTTCCCTGTTGATCAAGGTGTTATCCACCTCAGCTGAAGCTGATTCTCCTGGCAGGTAGGGTAAATGTAAGGAAGGTGGTCGACCATACAAAGCTTCATAAGGGGTGGTTTGTGTGGCTGAATGAAATGAGGTGTTATACCAATACTCAGCCATAGGCAAGCATGAGTACCAGTTAGCAGCATCATCATTGCAGTAATATCTTAAGTAGGTCTCCAAACTCCTATTCAATACCTTTGTTTGACCATCAGATTGAGGATGATAGGCAAAAGAAGTATTCAATTGGACTCCTTGCAATGTGAATAGCTCTTGCCAGAACTGGCTAGGGAAGACAGCATCTCTATCACTGGTAATAGTGTCAGGAAGACCATGCAATCTCACCACAGTATCTAAGAACACTTGAGCTACAGATTTAGCAATATAAGGATGCTTCAATGGAATGAACTGACCATATTTGCTAAGTCTGTCCACCACTAATAATATCACCTCATAACCTTTTGATTTGGGTAGACCATCAATGAAGTCCATACTGACTTGAGACCATACCACATCTGGAATAGGTAAGGGTTGTAACAGGCCCAGATAGGCAGCCAAATCAGATTTGTTCCTCTAATAAATATCACATTTCTGCACAAATTCCTTCACCTCCTTCCTCGTGTTTTTCTAGTAAAACAATGTAACTAATCTCCTTAAGGTAGCTTCAAAACCTGAATGACCTCCTTAAGGAGCTGCATGCCATAGAGTCATGATTGTTCTTCTCAATTGTGGTTTTTTGCCTACCACCAATCTGCCTTTCCTTCTTAACTGGCCTCTAGACCATGTGAATTGTTTGTGAATGAGTGGATCAGCTTCTAATTCTTCAATGAGTTTCTTTAGTTCTTGATCAGAGTTCCAGCTATCAACTATAGCTTGGAAAAGATCAGTATCACCAGATGAAACTAGTAATGTCAATATTTCAGCTCTAGTTACCCTAGAAAAGGCATCAGCTACTTTGTTGTCCACACCCTTCTTGTACTCAATTGAGTAATCAAATGGCATTAATTTGGTTAGCCATAATAGTTGTGAATTAGTGTGTAGTGTCTGCTCCATGAGATACTTCAAAGCTCTTTGATCAGTTCTGATGATGAACTTCTGCCCCAACAAATACTGTGACCATTTAGTCACTGCATGTACTATTGCCAATAGTTCTCTATCATATACAGATAAAGTTGCATGCTTGGGTGATAGAGCTTTGCTGATAAAGGCTATGGGATGTCCTTCCTGCATAAGTACTGCTCCAATACCATGACCACTGGCATCAGTCTCTACAATGAAGGTCTTGGTAGCATCTGGCAAAGCTAGAACAGGAGCTTGAGTGAGTGCTTCTTTCATAGCTGCAAAAGCTGCCTCTGCTGAATTTGACCATTTGAACCCATCCTTCTTAGTCAAGTCAGTCAGAGGTTTGCAAATCAGCCCAAAACCCTTAATAAATCTTCTGTAATAACCAGCTAGGCCTAGAAATCCTCTGAGCTGTTTGAGAGTTGTTGGTGTGGGCCAGTTTTGGACTGCTGCTATCTTTTGAGGATCAGTAGACACTCCTTCAGCTGAAATGAAGTATCCTAAATACTCAATCTTTTGAACCCCAAAGAAACATTTGCTCTTCTTTGCAAATAGCCGGTGCTTACTCATCTCCATAAAAACATATTTCAAATGAGTTAAGTGATCCTCTAAAGTGCTGCTGTATATGAGAATATCATCAAAGAAAACCAGTACATGTTTCGTAAGAAACTTCTGAAAAATAGAATTCATCATTCCTTGGAAAGTTGCAGGAGCATTTGATAGGCCAAATGGCATTACCAAATATTCAAAATGACCAGAATGAGTTCTAAAGGCAGTCTTAGGCACATCTTCCTTGGCCATTCTGAGTTGATGATATCCAGACCTTAAGTCTATTTTAGAGAAGACCTTAGAGCCCCCAAGTTCATCTAGCAGATCTTCCACAAATGGGAGTAGGAAACTTATTCTTCACACACTACAACAAATGTAGTATTTAGCTACGAAATTATTAGCTACGACACAAAATTCATCACGGATTATTCATTTTTCGTGACAAAAATTATATTTCATCTTTAAAGACATGAGCTATGCACTTTTAGTGACGAAACATAAAATTTCGTGGCGAAAGTTGCGTCCACGAAAGTTTACCACCAAAAAATGAGTTGGCGCCATTTATTGTGTAGTATTAGCTAAAATTATTCGTGACAAATTATTTTTGTCACTAATGTTGCACAAAATTTATGACGAAAATTTATTTGTCTTAAAATTAGCTGAACTTTCGATACGAAAAGATTTCTGTCACTAAAAATGTATTGCCAAATAGTGACGATTCAAAATTTGTAATTAAATGATCTAATCTCTAGCCATAAAATTGTATACTTTTTGTGACCTTACTTTTTGTCACTAAAAATATAAACAATTAGTGACAATCATTTTATTGTCTCTAATCAACCTGCAATTTAGTGACAGCAAAGTTTTATCACAAAATATACTTAAAATTTGTAGTTGAATAATATGACTACTATGAAGCAGCTTTATAGCTAAATAATAAACAAAAAATTAATATAAGTTGGAGTTGTGATCCCAAAAGGATTAATTATACAGAGCTAGCAAGCCTAGGCTTGCAGCGGTGCTGGATATTTTGTGGATTTTTGATGAACTATTTACTATCAAGGTGAAAATTGAAATAAATTACAATTATATTGAAAGCATATTAATGAAAGAAATTGACCAACTAGGATTTCAAATATAATATGAGAAGGCAGTAGGACAACTAATCCCTCCATGTTCCTTGTTAGTTATTGCCCAATTGACTGCCTAAACTATTTAAATAGATATTATAGTATCTAATTGAATTTTATACATGGATATGTCCAAATATCTAATGAGCCTATCGTTAATTACGCTTTTCTAAACTTAATGAGATGCATTAAGACCAATTGATAACCCACAAAGGAGACTATATATATTCTTATAATTGAAAAATGAAATAGAACAGTTTATCCTCCCTTATTCTTGTTAATTATATTATCACCCAATTGATTGCTTAAATTATTTAGTTAGATATGATGTTGTCAACTGTCAAATTCAATTGTATATATTGATATTTTTCAGTATCTAATGAACATATGTTAATTAAGCTTCTAAAATCATAAGATGCATTAAGACCAATTGACAAACCACACGTGAGAATTTAAGGATTCTTATAATTAAAGAAAGATAAATAGACATTTTCTGGGAAATATATGTCTTTCATAACTCTTAATTGAAAATAACAAAAAACAGCCTTTTTTAAGATACATCAATTACTTGTAATAATATTTTTTGCATTTGAAAATATAAGGTACTTGTATTTAAAAACATTATAATCTTTAATTAATATACACAAATTTCTCATTTTCTTTTGCTTTACCTTTTTATTGTATAGCTTCAAATTATTTTATTAGATGAGCAATTGTTAGGTATATTATATAAGTAATTTATATTATTAATAAGATTTTATTTGTTTAAAACCTTCTTCACATAGCGAGTGTAAGTATTTAATTTTAAAATACTAATCTTAGGGTACGCGCTTTGCACGTGTACCTATATCAATGAATATACAAATTTTTAAAATTACATACATATTATTAGATAAATTATTTTATAAAATAAAATTTAAGAATTTTTTTAAAATAATAAATATTATTCCCATTAGTTAGCTTAACAAATGAAAGAATTTTATTTAGAGCCTTATTGTGCTTTACCCTGATTTATGTCGAAACTTATAAAAATTATTGTTTTTATGTGACCTAATACTAAAAATAAAATATAAAAATATTTTTTAACACAATTTCTTTAAAAATTTGACAAATAACACAAATTAAAAATAAATAAGAAAAGTTGGCATTATATCTTCTTAAAATTTGATAGTGACAATGTTAAGTTTAAAGAGTAACTAATATTGAAATAATATTTTACAAGGAAAAACTTAGCATAAATATTTAGCAAGACGCTTTTATTTGTTGGACTGAATGCAAGAAAGAAACAAATGACAATTTATTTATAATCTGGTTGTCTTCTACAATTTTATCTTATTGCTAATTTGTACTTTTACCGATTTGAATCTTAATTTTATACTATAATTAAGTTTGCTATATTTTATGATTTCTTTCACCATCAATACTCTTCTTATAAAAATAAATTAAGTGTTTTGTCAATTTATCAAATAACTTTTCTTATACGATAAATTTGTAAAATAATTGAATTGGATTTGCTAATTAATTAATTCAATAAATTAATTATTTGTTCTCAACATTAAAAGAAATAAGTTAGGTTTTATTAATTTAAATTCTAAATATTAGCTTATTCTAATTTTTAAATATTTGACAATAATTATTTTTTTGCCAATAAGAATTTGATTTTCAAATAGTAAGAAAAATCATATATTTTGAATCTTTATGTTTTGGGAGTTCGTAATTGCTAACTCACGTTTTGCATAGTAAACATTCTCATAGGAACAGTTCAATACAACTCTAATATTAATGGCATTTAAATAAGTAAATCTATATAAGGTAAAAGTGTTATTAGATCTTAAATGATTATTTTGTCTAGCATAAAATCTTTTTTTAACGGGTAAAATAAGCGAATAACATTTCGCTAAGTGACTTTATACTTTTAATATAGTATAGATAGATAAATAGATAGATATAGATTTTAATGCTCTAATGATGAGATGTACAGTTACCGCAATATTTTGGGACGGTTCTAGTTAAATCTATCAAAATGTTAACGTTCCATTTCAATAAACGGAGAGAGAAGAAACCAAAATTCAAAATAACAATTTGCTAAAGAATTTATTTGCCTGTTTTTCGCTTTTGGTTATAAGTTATAAAGCAAAACAAATAAATGAACAATGAAATCAAAATAATATAATTAAGAAGTACAAATTGTTCTAATTTTATAATTGAAAGAATTTAACAGGAGGACATATTTAACATCATTGAAAAGAAATTTTATGATGAGTTTCATTTTTCGATATATTATTTTAACGTGTAATCAAAGTTTCAAAGCCATACAATTTTAAAATAGTCAATATACTAATCTAATTGTGATTAATTTACATGATTTTCATGTAAATTTATAGAAAATTTGTTAGATTTGCTAAACTTTGGGTACAAATGGATCCTTATACTTCCGCAACTCGAATGCTTTGTAACTGGCGGAATAACTTCATGACTTACTGTCAAATCCGAAAATTTTTCGGTTAAAATAGAAAATACAATTACCAGAATATATTATTTTTTATCTATGTATCAGTTTAAAAGGAATTGAAATAATTGTAGGCTGCGGCTCAATTAATTTATAGGTGTTGTATGTTTTACCCAATCTCAACTTAACAGAACTTTGTTGTTATAGCACTATAATGAAAAGTCTTTCATTCCTTGTTTATGTGATTTACTTTGCATTGTTGAAGCCTTCTTTTACTTATTTGTTAAACTTTTTCTTTTTCATTGAACAGATTAGCAATTTGTTAAATCTTATGTGCAGGGGTGAGGGGCTAAAATTGAGGTTAGACTCTTAATGTCACTTCAATTGAATGACCTTATATCTTCAGAATTTTTGTGCATTTGTCCTATAAGCTCGTTGCAGATAAATATCCTTTTTAGTAATCTTGTATGACTAGGGATATGGTTAAGACAGTAATAATTTTATATAACACAAAAACTCTGGCCTAGGCATCTTTTGCTTCTCTTTTGGATTGACAACTTAATATCAGCTATGCCATATACAATTTTATTCTTTTTAAGGGGGGGTGGGGTTGGCGAAGTTGGGTGAAGAATACTTAGCTGTCCGCTTAATTTTTTCTTTTATAAGTAATATTCAGTTTGTTTTCATTTTGAACTCTTAAATGATATTCATTATCCTTTTATCTTAAGAATGGTGCCTACACATGATACTATTATGTTTTTTTAAGTTTCATAGTAGCTTGTGTATATATGATGGCTCTTTCCATGTGCATCACTAGTACATGTATTCTTATATCGATATTAATTTTTGTCATTAACAAACGGAGATTGTATATTTACTTTAATAAGATATGAGAACATGTAAAATGATTACAAAATCTTTTTACCTTTGAATTTGTTAATGGTGAACTCTTCATACTCCACAGAGGGACATGCAAAGGTATCAACATTCTGTATTAGTGCTACACTTGAACTTTATTTTTTCCTTACTCTAACTTGCATCTTTTTCAGCAAATCTATTGTTGCATCCTTGTGAGACTATTAGATTGTCAACTTATTTCCTTTGTATTTTATATTCCCTTACTGTTAACATTATCCTACTTTCCCTTAGTTCCTTAAATTGCTGAACAAAGCAGCATCTAGAATTCAATTGGACGCAACATTATGCTAATAAGGAGCTATTTTCTCTAACTTCAATCAAGGTATGTTCCCACTTCTTAATGCTTACTCTGTTTCATAATAAATGCAACATGTATTCAGATAGAGAATATTTTTTCTTGAATTTGGTTCCTCTAGGGAATTCAAGCATTGCTCCAGGGCATTTTTCAATTCTTCTGTGTAAAAGATAATACAAGCTATACGTCATGGTTAAAAAATTTATGGTTTGATTAGTTTCTGAAAATTTCATATCTGGTATTTCATGCCACAAATTCTGATACTATTGAAAATGTAACGAGTTATTTTGAAAAATATGATAAGTTTAAAACGGAGCAAATTTTATATGGTTACAATATAATGATGCTTGCTTGTTACCCAATTGAGAATTTGTGTCTCTGTATTATGTGATTGGTAAAGGGTATATTCTTGGATTATAGACATGTCAATCCTCTTTCTGTTGTTGTTTAAGCATCATCGCCATTGTGAAATTTTGGCATATCTCAATTTCAACTAAATGGAGGTTCTTTTATGTAAGAGCGGCATCTTATCTTTAAAATAATTAGATGTTCTTGTTGTCAGCAAGCTTATATTAGAAACACCAATATATAAGATTTAAGTAAACTCTTTAAGTAGCCTTGTTAGCATATCTCAGACTAATGCTAATCTTTGATGGTTACAGGAAATTATGTTAGTCAAATCTTAATATCTTATTGAGTTTCTTACCAATTTCTGGTTTCCATTGTATGTGCAACCTTTTTCTTCTGCATTCAATTGTCTTGATAAATTATACCTGGATTACTATTAGAATTTTCTAATTTCTTTCTCTCTTTTGATCCTTTGCTATTTTTTTTAATATAGGAAGGATAAAGTTCTCCAACAACAGAAAACAAAGTCAACCAGAGACTTGGAGGAGTTTGAAGGCAAAGGAATAGTTTGGAAACATTTTATATTATTTTTTGGGCCATTTATATATACAAAGAAAATGTATTATAATGTATATTAGAATACTTTATGTTGTTTGATTTTTTAGCAATGAAAAGTTCTTATATATTTCTATTTCTCATAATTGCCTTATTTACTATGAACTATTTTTTATTTTATGATAATTGCAATTGACGTGTATCATGATAATTTATAGGGACAATTTATTTTGTCAGTAAAAGCGATGTTTTTAGTGATGAAATAATTGTCTTAGCTACAAAATTTTAAGCCAATTTTATTAAAGCAAATTTGTCACTAATTTTTATATTTAGGGACGAAATATCTTTTTGTGTATGATAGGTAATTTTTAGTGACAAAATTACATTTGTGCAACTACGAAATACATATAACTTTAGAGACAATTAATGTTATCACTAATTAAACTAAATAGTTAGTGACGAGGTAGTTTTGTCGCTATTAATTGCCTGTTTAGTGATGAAAATGTACTATCAACTACAAAAATTTTGTACTTTTTTTGACAAATAAGTTCGTCACAAATACTATACGTTTGGGGACGAAAATCAATTTCGTAGTTAAAATAACTTTATTTAGTGACGAATCACTAAGTTGTCTTTGTATACCTTTAGTGACGCACATTTAAAGACGAATGATTGACGATTTTTTTTTCGTCAAGAAAAGTTTTTTGTGACGAAATATTAATTTTAGGTGACAAAATAATTTGTCACTGATAATCGAATTTGTTGTAGTGACAGTATGCTTATTCAAATCTCTATAATCAACACATAACCTCCATGATCCATCCTTTTTGCCTACTAGTACCATTGGTGATACAAAAGGACTGCAACTAGGTTGAATGATACCTTGATCTAACATCTGTTGTACAAGATTCTCAATAATATCCTTCTTGACTGAAGGATACCTATAAGGTCTTTTGTTCACAGGTTCAGTACCATTTTGTAGTACAATCCTGTGATCAAAGACACCCCTAGAAGGAGGTATAGGTTCTTCAAATAATCCAGAATATTCAGTTAGCAATTGTGTTAGACCATTATCTACCACAAGTTCTTCCTCAACCTTAATAGCATGCCATTATTCTTCTGTTTCCCCATAGGGATCACTTGTATCATACACAATTGAGATAAATCCCCTGTATGTTTGACTATTTTATCAGCTTCCTGCACCTTCACTTGATTGCCAGCACCACTGAGGAGGTGTTTCCTTCCTTTATACCAGAACTCCATAGTTAGCTTCCTAAAGTTCATTTTTATATCTCCAAGTGTTAGTAGCCATTGCACTCCTAACACTACTCCACATGAACCTAAAGGTAGCAGTAAAAATTCTGCTGAAAACTCAGCACCTTGTAGCAGCCAAGTAATTGTACATACTCTATCTACCATCATGTTCCAATTAGCAGCAGCTACTAATTGAGGTTTTGTAGATTGGATTGTACATCCTAAATGTTTGACCAATTCAGGATCTATGAAATTATGTGAACTACCAGTATCAATCAGGATACTTAGGGCCTTCTTTGCATGATAACCAGTAACCGTTAAGGTTCTATACCCCAGTGAACCATTCAAAGCATGGATGGAAATTTCCATTTGTTCTATACCTTGAGATGATTCTAATAAGTCTATTCCTTCCTCCTAAAATTCTAACTCCTGCCCTTCCCTTGCATAAGGTCCTTCTTCTATTTCTTCCAATTCCAGTAGATATAACTGTTTGGAACTGTTACATCTATGGCCTGGCACATACTTTCATTACAGAAATAACACAATCCTTTTGTCCTCTTTTCATTCATCTCATCTATGCTTAATGCTCTCTTAGTAAATCCCCTAGCATAGCTAGAACTACCAGAATTAGGAGTTGGCAGTAGAGGCTTACCATTATTGCTTTGTGATGCATATCTCTTAGTTGAAGAACTTGTTGTATAAGTCGATTGTTTAGTTGCAGCCAGATAAGCTTCATGCATCCTTGCAGTTCCGTACACTTGAGATAGAGTTGTTAGATTAGTCAGCTTCACACCAATATTCAACTCATGCTTCAACCCCCCAATAAAACAACTGATTGCATTTTCTTGAGATAGCCCCACCTTATTCAAATTTCTTTCAAAGATAGCCTGATATTCCTTCACACTCCTAGTCTGCTTGATCTTCTTGATCTCCTCCATAGGGTCATCGAAATCAGCCCCAAACCTTTCAACCATTGCCATCACATATTCATTCCAAGTAGCAGGTTGCAAGTACTGCCTATACCTCATGAAAGAGAGATGCCACTGAATGGCTTCTCCTTCCAACTACAATGCCGCCACTTCGACTCTTTCTTCAGCATCTACCTTTTCCATAGAGAAGAATTGTTCAATTTTGAACAACCACGATCTCAGATCTTCTCCATTGAATCGTAAAAACTCCATCCTAGACCACCTAGAGAAATTGGAGTTCTGATGATTACAACTCGCAGGACTTTTCTCTCGATGAGACCTAGCTTCAGAAGGTCCATCATCCTCTGCTAATGGAGCTTTGTCCTTCTCGTTTCCCTTTGAATTTGTCATATGTTCCTTCAATTCAAGGACTACCTGATCCAACTACTTTAGAGCTAAGACTTCTCCAGATAGAACTCCTACATCTGTTATCAATTTCTGCATCAACTCTCGTAGGTCAGGATTTTCTTCATTCGTACTGTCAGTAGTTCGAGCTCCTTTTGCCATGATTCCAAGGATCACACAGCTCTGATATCAATGTTACACGATTGCAGGAATTCAAGGAGAATTCGAGGATCGTAGCACTACTCCAGGAATGAATCGAGGAAGTAGTAGAGAATGTCAGATTTTCAGAAGAAGAGAAGAAGAGAGGAAGAAGAAGAATAGAGAGATTTAGGAGAAATGATGTAACTGTAATTCATATCATGTAATGATGTTTACAATCCCTATATGTAATGATTCATACATTCCTCGTGTAACTAGATTCTATCTAACAGAATGAATAACAGAATTCTGTTATTCAACTGCTAACTATCGTAACTAACTTTCCCTCCCTTTAACTAACTTTTGGACTACTAACTACTGACTTTACTTTTGGTTCTCAATTCTGCTGTAGTCGAGCTGGGCTACTAAAATCATGTATCACGTACATTTCAAGTAATTGAAGGTTAAGCTAGCGTTTGGACATCAATATGATTGAAACTTGAAAAAAGAATTTTTGAAGTTGTGTTGAAAAATTATTTTTGGACATGCATTTTATTTGAAGAAAATTTAAAGTTTTGTGAGTGGAAGAAAATTTTTCGCCGGCAGCTTTTGGGAACTTAAAATTTTTTGAGGTTTTTTCCCCAAAATATTATCATATTTTATAAACAAATAATATTTTTAAATTTAGCCTAAATCTATGGCCAAACGAGAGCTAAATATACGTAGTCAAATATCACAATAATAAAATTAGATTTTTTAATAATTAAGGCACCAAAAGAGCTATTAACAAAGATTAAATAAAGAGTGAGTACTACTACAAAATATAGTAGTAATTTTTTATATAGTTAAACATATCTAAAAATACTTGAAAAAAGAGAGAGATTGTAACGAACAAGTCTTTTGCAGTAAATCCCGGTACAGCATTCAAAATTCAAATTTCACATCTCCCAATTCGATTTTGTTTCCATGTTTTACAAAGTAAAAATAAAAAATTTCCTTTTCTATAGTAAAAAAGCTACGTATAAATATAAGATCCCTCAATATAAATGGGTGAAATTAACAATAAAAAAAAAAGAAAACCGAGTGAGCGAGTAGAGCTGAGTTAACTCGTTTCTCCTCAAAAGAAACAAAATGAAACGAGTGAACCATAGGCCATTATCTTGTTGCCAAATTAGGTCAGAAGAAGAAGAAGAAAAAATGGTGAGATTTTCATTGGGAAGAGAAGAAGATGATAATAACGAAGAAGGACCGAGTAGCCGATCCGTTCCCAAAAAACGGCGAACTTACGGCGGCACTTTCTCCTGTAACGCCGTTAATCGTCAACAAGAACAACAACAACAAGAACCAGAACGCCGTTGTGAAGTTGAAGAAACGGCTATTGAAGAAGAAGAAGAAGAGGAAGAGGAGGAGGACATTTATGAAGAGGAGGATTTTGTAACTGATGAAGAGCGAGAAGAAGAAGAGGAGAATTGGAACCCGGAATCCGAACCCGAATCCGAGGGAATTCCAGATCCTGGTTTAAATAGGTCTAATAATACTGTGGCAGTATTGAATCCGGATCGTGATTTGGAGGCTTCGAGAGGAAACGGGTCAATTTCCGTTACGTTGTCGGATCCGGATGTGTTGGATTGCCCAATCTGCCTTGAACCTCTCAGTACTCCTGTCTTTCAGGTCTCTCTTCTTTACCTTATCCATTACTATTGTCCTTTATTTCTGTATATATATGATAATTGTGAGATCTAGAGAATTCTTAATTTGCCCTAAAAAGTTTGGGAAGGAAATGGATTTTCTCAGGATTTTTTGCTTACTCTTTCACTTTCGTTTCTAAATTTGGCTCGTTCTCCGCTGCTGTTTGTACCTTTCGCCTAATTAGAAGTGAGTGCAAACCACTAAAGACAATCAACATGAGAGATTTTTAAAAAATAAGTAAAAACAGAATGAAAGTCAGTCCTAAATTGACAAGGACGAGCTTTTTCATGAAGAAAGCCTCGCGACGATTAGTATAGATAGGTACAGAGAGAATCTAGTTTCCAAGGTATTCCTTTGATTATTAATTAAGAGTTAATTAATAATTAAAGGAATACCTTGGAACTAGATTCTCTCTGTACTCTTAATTAAAGAATTAAGAGTTAATTCTTGAGCCGAGGGTCTACCGGAAACAGCCTCTCTACTCCTCCGGAGTAGGGGTAAGGTCTGCGTACACACTACCCTCCCAAAACCCTACATGTGGGATCTCACTGGGTTGTTGTTGTTGTACTCCCTCCGGTTCATAATAAGTGTCCAATTTGCTTTTTCATTTTGGTTCAAAATAAGTGTCCAATTATGTAATCAAGAAAGAATTCAATTTGTTTTTACAAAATAACCCCTATGTACATATCCCTAAAAAGTTTTCTTATTCCTTACATTAAATGTTTAAGTAGGGGTAGTTTAGTCATA